CCGGGCGAAGGGCGCAGAGCCTGGCAGACAAGCGGCGAAACGCATTGCGTCGCTCCGGGATTGCTTCCCGCGGTGCCTCCCGCGGCTGCCCGGAAGGCAAGGAGTCGGCAACTTGCACAGCAGCCATCTTTTCTACGTGTGGGGGAGGGGGGAGGTCCCAGGGAAATACTTCCGGGGCATCCTCCCGCTCCGCGCGCTAGTTCCGGAAGTACTTTTTTTGGACCGGACTGGGGCTCAGAGGGGTTTCCGTGACTGCGGGACGCCTCTGACTGGTACCCTACAAATGCTTGTCAGAAATTGGCTTGGAGGCCGGGCGCGGTGGCTCACGCCTGTAATCCCAGCACTTTGGGAGGCCGAGGCGGGCGGATCACGAGGTCAGGAGATGGAGACCGTCCTGGCTAACACGTTGAAACCTCGTCTGTACTAAAAATAAAAATAAAAAAAATTAGCCAGGCGTGGTGGCGGGCGCCTGTAGTCCCATCTGCTCGGGAGGCTGAGGGAGGCGGAGCTTGCAGTGAGCCAATATCGCGCCACTGCACTCCAGCCTGGGCGACAGAGCGAGACTCCGTCTCAAAAAAGAGAGAGAGAGAGGAGAGAAGAGAGAGGAAATTGGCTACAGAAAGAAAGAATTGGCTTGGAGATTTTTCGCTGGCCACTCCTTCTTGAGCCCTGACTGAAAAGTGAGTTCTCAATTTGTGCTTCCAGAAAGTTTGCCCTCCCCGAATTTGTTCCTGGACAGGGCTGAAGGTACTCTATTAAGTACTAGAGTTTCAGATTCGGGCTGGAGTTGGAGAGGTTATGCTGTGGATGGCAGTAGCAGAAACTGCTAGTTCTAAGACACCCTTCTACTCTTCTAAAATCTTGCCCCAGGCACAAAACCACCCGGAATAAAGGCTACATTCCCCAGCATTCCTTGCAGTTGGCTGTGGCTATGTGATTACAATCTGGCCAATGGAATATAGGGCAGCTTTCCCTACTTAAGTGACAGCTGACTGCACTCTTGGTTCCTTTTTCTCCCCTTTTCCCAGTGTAAATCCTGTCATAGATTATGAGGCACCTTGCCCCACTAGAAGAGTAATTTTGGAGTTCAACTGAATCATGTAAAACATAATCTGCCCAAGGGTGACCAGGTTGAGTTGAGACACCCCAAGATTTTTTGAAGTCAAGAAGCTGGAGAATACAATGGCCATTTAAAAATCTGTGATCAGTTTTCAGTCATCCAGGAAGTGGAGGCTTGGCTTTCACAGTTGGGCAGGTTGGGAAAACCGTCTCTAGGGCCTTTGAGTTATGCAAATATAAAGCAAAACCTCACCCTTGGCCCTTAGGGAAAGCCTTGAAGTCACCTGAATGTATATTTTATCCTGAGAATAAAACATTTCTGTTCAGGAATGAAAACTGGGGGTATGCTTTAGCAGAAGTAGTTTTCTGAAGACTTTGGGCTTGGAAAGAAATGTTAATTTTTTTGTTTGGATTTAGATTCCATTGTGCTGGTATATTATTTCTTATTCCTGGTCTGTGTCCATATGTGCATGGTATATGTGCATGTATGTGTGTGTATTCATGTAAAGAAATGTATTCAAGCATTTGTTCAGAGAAGATCAGGAGCTGAAACCTAGTCGTTGGATATTTTAATCTGGGTTCCCTGAAATCAGAGCCTCAGACGACGTTGATAGGTGAGTGGTTTATCCAGGAATGAACAAGAAAGGAAGGAGAATTAATACCAATATGTGTTATTGAGATGGCCGTTGCAAGGGGTGACTGATTGTTCAGTCCTCAGGAGTTTCTGAGAAGCCTTGTGAAGCTCTCAAAACCCTTCTGAAGGAACAGAGAGGGGAAGCATTTATCTGTCAGCTTTTGGCTCTATTGTCAAAAGTTGCCCACAAGGCATTAATTCACTGGTGTTCCTGTGTTGAGCATGTATCTGTGCTTGGTTCCTGCAGGAGTCCTATGTTGCATAGTCAAAGAAGCCCTGAGGCAACAGTGAGGAAACTAGGGTGCATATCTGAGGCAAGGCTCTCACCAGTTAGACCTATGCTAAGCTAGTAGATGCCTGTGATAAACTAGTTGCTGTAGCAAAGGCTAGAATAAGAATGTAAGACCAAGAGTATGTGAAGTAGTACTAAAGAGCTGTCTTACACATTGGGCTAGAAGGATGTGAGTGGTCATTTCCACAATGCAGGTGGTTCAAAGAGACTGTGGGAAGGATCTGGGTTTGGTGTGGTTGACCTTAAGTTGCAATATGGATGACCTACGTATTGTGTTATTCAGGTTGGAATGGTCCAGGAATTGTAAAATACAGTATACTGATGCCAGTCTGTTGAGTTCTGGTAGAAAATACCCTTGTGGATTAGTGTGGTTCCTTTAAGGAAATGGATATCCCTACTCTGCAATGATCACCAACTGAAGGAAACATATATCAAGCTCTGAGGGAGGTCTTTGAAGGCACCCTACATTGGCTTGAGTTTATACAGTAGCACTCCTGCTCCCATCTCCCACGCTGAAACTGTGGAAACACACCATGGCAAAAGCCTTCTTCCAAGAAAATCTCCTGTCTCCTCAATTCTCCACATTTTCATAGTCCTGCAGTGACTGAGGGGCTTTAAGCGGTGCTAAGCACGTTTGCATCGGATGATCTGGAACCTCAATGGAATTTCACTCCTTTCATGTTTGGAAACCTCTCAAGACTTCATTTTTATCACTTCATGAGAGTCTGGGTCATCCTAACTCACGTAGGCTTGCATACCCCCATTTCACTCTAATTCACATCTTTGATTATTTCCTTCAGAAAATTTACCATAACCTGCAGTTATCTTGTTTATTTGCTTACTTTATCATCTGTTGCTTCCTCTAGAATGTTAACTCCATGAAGGCACAGGTCCTGTTTGTCTCATTTGCTGTTGTATCCCAGGGCTAGCACAGCCCCTGGAATGTGAATGAACTCACTAATTTTTTATTCAGGGTACCCTATTTGCCATTGGTTGATGCGCAAATCAAATGGGATTTTTGTGAAAATGCTTTGTAAACTATAAAGTTTTGTAAGTCTTAGCATCAAATGAGGTAGATATTATTTCCCCCTTTTACAGTTGAGAAAATGGTGCCAAAGAGTATAAACGGTTGGTCAAAGCTGCACAGGCAGCAAATTGGTTGAAATCAGATTGCAGCCCAGGCTGGCTGTGATTGTGAAGAACATAGACAAGAAATTATAAACACATTGTTTTTTACTTCCCACATTTTGTAATAGGGAAAACCAGAAGAGAGGAGCTTGATTTTAGTATCCAGATTACACATTTAACCAGGAGAGGCTAGGAAGGAGGATTGGCCTTGAGTTTTGTTTCAGGGTCATCAGACTATCTATTTGATTACATAGGAGTCCGCACTTATCGGTAGTTTTGCTTTCAGCCTTTTCAATTACCCGTGGTCAATCACAGTATGAAAATATGAAATGCACTGGGCGCAGTAGCTCATGCCTGTAATCCCAGCACTTTGGGAGTCCGAGACCGGCTGATCACTGGAAGTCAGGAGCTCGACACCAGTCTGACCAACATGTTAAAACCCCATCTCTACTAAAAATACAAAAATTAGCCGGACATGGTGGCACACGCCTATAATCTCAGCTACTTGGGAGGCTGAGGCAGGAGAATCACTTGAACCTGGGAGGCAGAGATTGCAGTGAGCCGAGATCGCACCATTGCACTCCAGCCTGGGTGACCAAAGCAAAACTCCATCCAAAAAAAAAAAAATACGAAATGGAAAATTCCAGAAATAATTCATACATTTCAACTTGCTGCTGTTCTGAGTAGTGTGATGAAATCTTGCGCCGTCCCACTTCATTCTGCCTGGAATGTAAATCATCCCTTAGTCAAGCATACCCACACCTTATATGCTACCCACCCCTTAGTCACTTAATAACCATCTCAATTATGAGATCCACTGTCCCAGTGCTTGTGTTCAAGTAACCTTTATTTTGCTTAATAATGGTTTCAAAGCGTAAGAGTAGTGATGTTGGCATATTGTTTTATTTGTTCTATTTTATTATTAGTTATTGTTAATCTCTTACTGTGCCTAATTTATAAATTACACTCTATCATAAGTATGTATTTATAGGACAGAACACATGTATATAGAGTTTGATGCTATCCATGGCAGTATATGTAGAGTTTGATACTATCCACGGTTTTGTGCATTCACTGGGGGTCTTGGAACATATCCCCCATGGATTAGGGGTACTACTGTGTTAATAATCATTGTAGTTAACACTTGCTGAATGCTTTCAATGTGTCAGTACTTTACATGACCCTCTTTTATCTTTGTAGTTTTATGAGGTACTATTATATATATGAGAAACTGAATCACAGAAAGACGAAGATTCTCACTGAAGGCAACGTGGCTGTGTGGTGGGCCTGGGTTTGAAATCCAGAGTCAGGGCTCCTGACTACCATGCTATAATGCATAGGCCTTATGTGGCATTCGACATGAGATTATAGTTTAGGCCCTGACACTTACTTGCTATATGACTTTGCCCCAAACCTCAGTGTCCTCAAATAGTGATGATAAGAAGTGCAGTCCTGTAATCCCAGCACTTTGGGAGGCCGAGACGGGCAGATCACGAGGTCAGGAGATCGAGACCATCCTGGCTAACACGGTGAAACCCCATCTCTACTAAAAAACACAAAAAACTAGCCGGGCGAAGTGGCGGGCGCCTGTAGTCCCAGCTACTCGGGAGGCTGAAGCAGGAGAATGGCATAAACCCGGGAGGCGGAGCTTGCAGTGAGCTGAGATCCGGCCACTGCACTCCAGCCTGGGCGGCAGAGCCAGACTCCGTCTCAAAAAAAAAAAAAAAAAAAAAAAAAGAAGTGCAGTCAAAAGGTTGTTAAGGATACTTAGATAATGTCTGGAAAGAATTTAACATAGTCCTTGTTGATAGTCAGTACACAACAAATGTCATCTGTCCTTCTCCCCCCTCCTCCTCACCTTTAACCAAATAACTCAAATAGTATGAGTGCTTTTAACAGTGATGATTTATTAAAAGAAACAACCCCTCTTCCCTGCCTCCCATATCCCCTGTAGTCCCTATCCACAGGCTCGCCATTTTCATCCATCTTCCTAGTCGAGGAACTCCAGACAGTCACATCTTGGAAGATAGGAACTCCAGGAAGGGATGCTTATCTTAGAGAAAGATGATCCTTAAGATAACTCTTCATCTGAGAAAAAGACCAAAAAATTATGCCCCAGACCTACTGGTTTGGGGACCTGGGTCCACAGAATACAATCAAGAGGCAACAGTTCCTGACTTGGGAAATCAATCACACCTGCAAAGAGCCAGCCAGGCCCTAAGCACCCCAAGGATTGCAGGTGGATTGGCCAAATAATACATTCTGAACACAAAGGGTTTTTATTTAAAGTGTGTGCTGATTCTTTTGTGTTTAGTGCAACTTAGTTTATAATCAAAACTGAATTGGTAGCTTTTTATTATGCATTTTTCAACTAATGGCTACTGAAAACAAATAAATTATCCTGTGAGGCCCCCGAGACATTTTCACAGAAAAGGGGTTCTCATAAGTCAACATGGTAATGTACGTCACAGGGTTAAAATGAACATACTTTTTTAGGCTGGAGTGCAGTGGTGCAATCTCGGCTCACTTCAAGCTTTGCCTCCCGGGTTCATACCATTCTCCGGCCTCAGTCTTCTGAGTAGCTGGGACTACAGGTGCTTGCCACCATGCCCGGCTAATTTTTTTTTTTTTTCGTATTTTTAGTAGAGGCAGGTTTTCACCGTGTTAGCCAGGATGGTCTCATCTCCTGACCTCGTGATCCTCTCGCCTCAGCCTCCCAAAGTGCTGGGATTACAGGCGTGAGCTGCCGCACCCGGCCAATGAACATACTCTTTAGTCATCAATTTTACATCTTAGAATTTGTCCCAAGGACAAATATGTATACAGTTTAGTACTTGTTACAGTCCTATTCATAATATCAAAATAAGAAATATCTTAAACATGTATTACTAAAGGTTGCTAAGTATCTGAGCATAGATGATGAACTTCTATCAAAGATGGTGGGATAGAAGCATTAGTATTGACATTAAAGTTGTTTGGGGCTTGGCACGGTGGCTCAGGCCTGTAATCCCAGCACTTTAGGAGGCCGAGGTGGGCGGATCATGAGGTCAGGAGATCAAGACCACAGTGAAACCCCGTCTCTACTAAAAATACAAAAATATTAGCCGGGCACGGTGGCCGGCGCCTGTAGTCCCAGCTACTCAGGAGGCTGAGGCCGGAGAATGGCGTGAACTCAGGAGGCGGAGCTTGCAGTGAGCCGAGATCATGCCACTGCACTCCAGCCTGGGGTGACAGAGCAAGACTCCATCTCAAAAAAATAAAAGGCACAAGATTATCTCATTTTTATATAAATATTATATATTTGTGTATGTTTAAAATATGCACCAAAGTGTTAAGCAGACGTTTTGAGGTGGGGGATTATGTGTGATTTTTATCATTTTGCTTAAATAAATAGTCTGATTTTGCTCCAGGACGTACTGGGTTAGGGAATTATTTTAAAGGTCTGGAAACCACCATCCTGTGATGGATGCATCTTTTTCTTGGGAAGGTTGGGGGAAGAGGGAGACAGGTTTCTGTCCTACTCATTTCTGGAAAGTCCCACTGAGGCTAAGTGCACAACCTTCCTAGACTGAACAACGTTTGGGAAAGAAGAGAGGGCCGGGTGTTTTTACCTGTCCTTACTCTGCAACACACTCATGACCACACCCATTGCTGACACAGTGCTCTCCGGGATTGCAGTCCCAGTCACCTGTGCAGAGCTCGACGCAGGTACCTATGGAAGAACAAATGTGCTGAAAACCACCGTACTTTTGGGACAGATGCTACAAGAACAGCCCTTGATTAAGAAGTCAGTTCTACATTTTTCTTTTCATTCAATATGCAGTATGATTTATTACTTGCAGAATAATATCATTAACATCTTATACATTCCAGTTAAAGGCAATGCATTCACATGATCTCAAAAAAGTAAGGCCTACTTTAGAGATGGGGATAATTGTGTTTGTGGAGGGGAAGTGCAAAGAAGCCCACTTAAACGTCTTCACTTTCCCCACTCTGCAGGGAATAGAGTGGAGAAGAAGAGACTCACACTTACCACATGCCATCAGGAGTCCCTTGCAGTCACCCCATGCAGTGAGTCTTACTAGGCCCACTTTACAGGTGTGGCAGTTGGGGCTCAAAGAGGTGACTTGCTAGCCAGTGGGTACAGAAGTGAGATTCAACTGAGATTTGCCTGGCTCCTCGGTCTGAGCACCTTCTGCTATCCCACATGGTGAAGCTCATCCTGACATAAGTGCATATCTCCAAATTTCAAGGAGTCATTCCGGACCTGATTGGAGGCTCCCAAGTTCCCAGAACGTCAAGCTCTTTGAGGACCAATGAAGTAGGTTCAAAGAGTTGGTTAGGATCGCACAGGCTTCTAGGAAAACATACTCAGAACTCTGGATGAATATGTACTGTACTTTGGCTACTCAGCTGTTAGCAGGAATTTCTTTACCTGATTATGTCTCTGGATCTTTCTGGGACTTTTCTCATCTGTAAAAAGGGCCCCTGGATTCAGCAGGGGTAATGAGTTTTATTCTCCATTGTCAGTTTCAGTCAATGGAGGTAGCTGTCTGATGCTGTTTTGAGAAGGGTCGGACACCTTGTCCAGGTTCAAAGAGAATGAGTGCTAGGACTGATTAGCAGTATCTGAGGGGTGTAAGAAGGGGACCTGGTGGAATATCTTCAATGTAGTTGTAGACCTCAGAGAAAATCAGTACCATCCCCCCATGCTTCCCGTAACTTTTGTTGATTTGTGGTGAGCAATCTGAAGATCCCTCTTCACCACTCACAGCAGTTTGACTTATTAAATCAATAATATCTACTTATTAAGTATATATCTGTTGATTTCTTACTATGTATAAAACAGAGGAAATTATTCAGCAAATACAAAGATGTAAGACAAACAGCTTAGAGTCTAACAATATGGATAAGACATATTCAAAGTACTAAAAACAAAGCAATATGTAACAAGTGTCCTAAGAGTGGTATATTTGAAGAATTAAAGAGTCTCAGCTGGGCGTGGTTGCTCATGCCTGTAATCCCAGCACTTTGGGAGGCTGAAGTGGGAGGATCGCTTGAGCACAGAAGTTTGAGACCCAGTCTCTACAGTTTTTGATTTTTTTTTTAATTAGCCGGGCTTAGTGGCACATGCCTGTGGTCCTAGCTACTTGGGGGACTGAGATAGGAGGATCACTTGAGCCTAGGAGATTTAGGCTGCAGTAAGCCATGATTGTGCCACTGCACTCTGGTCTGGGCAACAAAGCAAGATCCTGCCAAAAAAAAAAAAAAAAAGTCTCAGAGAATATGACATTACTTCCAATTAGATTAATCAGAAAAGGTGAGTTTTGAAGTGCAGAAATCTTTTTAAGTCAGAACTGAGGGGCATGGGTGGAGTGTTGTGAGAAGAAAAAAGAATTACTAACAACAATTCACAAGGGGAAATGCAGGGCCGGGATTAGGGTGAGGCAAGTGAGGTGCCTAGGGCATGCGATTCCAGGAGGCCCTTGCACAATGCTGGCGGTGAGCACCCGTTTAATGTTTGCACCCTGGGTACCTGAGGTACCCTGGGTACCTCATCCACTTCACTCCTCACCCTGAAATACAAGGAACACAGGAGGAGTGGCAAATGGAGGGCTGGGTAAGTGTTAGGGAACAGATGGAAATGAAGCAGGAAAAGTAAGTAGGGGATAAAGTTACGGGGCGTGTGGGGTGCAGATCTTGAGGGCCTTAGGAGTTTGGATTTCATTTGATAGATCAAGACAGGGATGTGATTGATGTTTAATTAGGAAGATTATTCTGGTGTGAGAGCCTAGAATGGAACAGAATGCAACAAGCAAGTAAACTGCAGCAGAAAGACAGGGGCAGGGAGAGCTGTTAGGAAGCTCCTGGCATGGCCCAGACATGAGGTCATCGGGGCTGGAAATACTGCGTGACAATGGGAGATGGCAGGGGAACAAAAGAACATATGCAAGAGACACTTTCAGAGAATGGACAGTATTTGGCCACCAGTTTAATGTTGAGGGAAGGAGAGCGAAGAAGAAAAGAAAGTAATAACTGAATCCAATAATGTTTAGAGAGAAGAATAAAATACCATGAAGGATAATGCAGGAGAAAAGAAAGTTTGAGAACTGAGGAGGTGGCAAGCAGTGTCAGACACCACAGAGGTTAAAGACTTGGCGACTGAGGAGTCATGAGATTTGTCCACAGAATCTGGAAGAGAAGTTTCAGGAGAGTGATGGGGCAGGGCTGGAGGCTGTAGGCCATCTTCAAGGGGTCAAGGAATGACTTATTGGGAAGTACGGACAGAGAACTAAGATTACTCCTTTGAGAATGTTGGTAAAAGGAAAAGAAGAGATTGAGATGATTAATGTTTAACATGATTAAGAAAATATTTTCTCTAGGTGATCCAATTTATTCGTAGCAAGACAGGAAGAAGCTTATGGAGAGGGAGATGGCAGGAGTCAGAGGGTGGCTGATGAGGGGGTAAGAGGGGAGGTACAGAGAGTCCAAATGGAGCGGTGACCCAGGGAAAGGAGTGGGGGAAAGTGGAGGTAGAAGAAAAGAGATTCTGCTCTGGGGAGCTGAGTAGCACTGGAGGGTCCCTGCAGTGGCCCTTTAAGACCTTTTCTTCTCTCCTTTCTTCCCCTCTCCTCCCCAGCACACACTGGTCCCTGATGTCCTACTTTCTGGCCCCCTCATTCAAGGAAAAATGAACTGGGCTACTTTTTGCCTGGACTTACCCAAAAGTCGCAACGGTCTCACTGCAGCCTGAAGCCCTTGTACCTCTAGGCTGAAGATGATGAGGATCACAAGGAGGAGGAAGGCTGCCAACTTCATGTTGCTGTTAAAAGGCTTTAGAAATCACAGCAGGGCTGAGAGCAGCTGAAATTTATACCTTCCACCTGCTGAGCTGGAATGCAAGGCCAGGGGTGGGACTAGGGACTGCAGACACCTAAGCCCTGCCCAGAAACTGACATTTCCGGAGAACAGCCACCTACCTTGTGTACCCTGGGTCCTTCCACGTTACCTAAGCAAGGCTCTGAGCCAAGGGAACACCCTCCTCTGACAGACAGATAGGACTACTACACCAAGCCGGATGCAGTGGCTCACATCTGTAATCCCAGCACTTTGGGAGGCCGGGGCAGGAGGTTCACTTGAACCCAGAAGTTCAAGACCAGCCTGGGTTACAAGAGCAAGACCCTGTCTCTACAAAATTAAAAAAAAAAAAAAAATTAAATAATGAAAAAGATTCCTAAATCAAAAAAGCTGTGAGTGACTGAGAAAAGGGCTGGCATAAGTATTGAACATAAGTATTGAATGTCTGCTATGGGCCAGACATGGGCTCGGCATGAGAGCATCCCAAAGAGAAATTACAGTCTGGGAGCTAGGTGCCAGGTAGCAAGGGTGCAGTCTGCTCTTTCCCTTCTTCCCCCGACCCACCCACCCCCAACTTCCGGGCCTAGCACCTCTGGAAATGAGGGTAGGGAAAAGCAGTACAGTACAGGCAGGGATGTTCCTTATCACCTGCTGGTGGTACAGAGGTGACCTCAGTCTCCCACTGCCTTGGTCTGATTCTCTCTGCTTCTGGGCACCTAGGCAGTGATGGTCTTTGCCTATAGGAGCTATGTAATTTTCTTGAGATAAAGCTCTGCTTCCTCTCATCCAGCTTCATTTCTGAGAACCCAAACTCAAGTTATGCATATTAAACTCTTCTAGGATATCTCTCATCCTGCAGTTCTGGGGTGGGAGTGGGGGTGGGACCATAGTAACCAACCTGCTGGGGAGTGAGGTTTCATTTCCCCCTCCTTGTAGCACTCCTAATCTAGACGAATGATTTTCTTAAACACACTACCCTTGTGTTTTTTTTTTAGGAGGGAGTGGGGGTGGTGTCAGGGGTAGGGAGAAATATGCCCTCCCTCTTTCCTCTCCAATGGCAAGGAAGCTGGAGACATGTATAACCTTTGGCCATGTGTCCTGTGTCCCAAAAGATACATAATGTGAGACAAGGAGGATACCTGGGCTGGTAGAGGGTAGTGGGATAAGTTTGCAACCTTGTGATAGTCCCCCTGGGCCACTTTCTAAAGTGAAGTCAACTTTAGACTTCACTTGTAAGTCTAAAGTAGTTGCTGTTTCACTTCTGGTTCCTAATTCTGAGGCTACAGGGAGAGACCCCCTCTGTACTACTTCATGTATCACAGTTCCTGAAATGCTATTAGTTAGAGGTCCTTTGGGCAAACAGCTGACCTTTTCTGCAAATCCTTCTTATCTAACAAGACCCAGCCTAAATGTCACCTCCAAAACTTTCCACAACCTCCACCCCTAGGAGAGTAACATTCTCTTAGTACTTATCTTGTCATAGGGCTTATCAGACTCTATTTTAATTAATTATTATGATTATTTTACATTTCTCTCCTGTATCTTGATGGCTAGCATGGGGTCTTGCTGATCTTTCGTCCTCAGCGCTCAATCATGGGCACTTATTGTCCTCAATAATGTGTGTTTTGGGAGGATGAGGAGAATTCAGAGAGCCGTTGTAATTAGGAAGACACCTCACATGGCTTTCCATACAGATAGGCATTATTATTGCCATGTTACAGTTGAGAAGACTAAGCCACGGAGAGCTTTAGTAGCCCCAAATAATAGTTAAATGCAGAACCACAATCAAACTCCAAAGACATTGGTCTAAACTAGTCCACATGACTGTCAGGCTACATCCAAATTCTGAGAAAATAATTTGGACTCATCTCTGGGTGCAGATAAATGAGCTTTTGAGGTCAGAGAATTCTGCTTTATCGAGCGTGGCACTCATCATCACGATTTCATTAGCGTAGAACAACTGCTTTGAGCAAAGCAACTCACTCTAGAGGCTTCTGAGTGCTCAATCAGATTAAAAATAGGTGCCATCCACCCAAAACTGTTACTTTGGATTTCAGTGAGTTGAGGAACAGCATGTGGCCCTTATTGCTGGCTGTTTGCTAAAGCCGTTTCGAGCTTGTGAAAAGAAGCCTGATCCAAGTATAGCACAGTGGCTGAGAGTGAGGACCCCGGAGTGTGACAGGTCTGGTTTTCATCTGACTCCACTACTTGCTAGCTGTGTGACCTTGGGAAACTTAACTTCCCTTTCTGAGCCTCACTTCTCTTTTCTGTAAAGTGGGGAGTATAATTCCTACTTCAATGTTGGACAGACCAAATTACCATATATGTACACGTACATACTCCTGGCACAGAGCCCTCAACACTGGCAGCTACTATTCTTGTGGGTTTCTGTGAAAGGGGATGCATGTCTTTCCATTCCCTAGAGCGGGGCACCTACAGACAGCTCATGCAAACTGTATCATTTCATTAAGGAAATATTTCAAGATAAAGAAAACTCAGAACCTGTCCCTATTTTATTCTGCTGGATATTGTAAACTGAACCATGAAGAGACTCCAAGGCTGAAGCTGGTATTACTGTCACTTCCATAGCTCTATGTGGGCTCATGATTTCCATATGGAGATCAGGAAGCTTCGTATGTGACCAATTCTGCCTATAGAGTGATTAGCCAGGGGAGGGTCAAAAAAATCACAGTCTTACATAATTTCCTCACAAGGTGACAAAGAGCATAGTAATTATCTACAGGGTACTGTCACCACCCAAAGGGCTTCTGCTCCCAGTGAGAGCCTTTACAACATGAGAGGGTCATTATCAGCAATGGCTTGTGTGTACTCAGCTCTTCCAAATATCAGCTGCACTGCTCCTTATGCTCTGAAACTAGAGCATGAGACCAAGACCTGGGTTTCTGGGAGGGGCCTGCAAGAGATAGCTAGACACCACGGTAAGTATGCATCCTTCCACCTACACCTCTTCATCTTGTACCAGATCTAGATAGTGTAGCAGGTAAGCCTAAGAATCTGAGCTCAGGACCCAGATCACCTGGACTCAGATCCTGACTCCATCTTAGTAGCTGCATGACCGAGGACAAGTTATTTAACCCCAACATCATGTTGCTGGGGGAAGTTTCCTTTGATGACAACACCGATGGGCAGAGATGGGCTGAGATTTACATCTTCCCTCCCAGCATGTGCGTCCTGGCTCATGACACAGGTATTTGGAAGCTTAAGCCACAATAGGAAGCTGACCTTTCTGGATTCTATAGACCTGTGTTTAGCATTAAGTATTTTCAAACAAGCTTTCTAAGCCAAGGGAAACAGCTTCTTCCGCCTAATAATTAAGACTTCTAAAGAATGGTAGCCACTTTGAATGACAGAGACAAATGGGGCAGGGAGAAAGGAACTGGCGTATACTGGGCCAATTCCTTCTATGTGCTAGATTTTACCCCCCAACTTTTAAAGATCAAAAACATTGTCAGAGGTTGTTTTCATTTCACACCGGAAGAGACAGTAGCTTGCCCAGGTTTACACAACTTAATTCCCCAAGTTTTTCTGTTTTCAAATCCCAGCCTCTCTCCTTCACATGACACTGTTTATGACTCTTCTTTACACACTCCCATTTACCAGATTTTAGATCCAAATATTAATATTACAGGGCTCAGGTCTTGGCCTAGGAACAAGGACTGGCATCCTCTTTTCTTCTTCCCCCAATCCTCACAGAACTATCTAGAATTCCTCATTCAATCACAGTATCTGAAATGTTAACAAGTAGAGACTTCCTAGGGTAAAAAGTCTCTTGGCATGTTCAGATGTAGGGAAAATCCCATTTGATTATGATAACATTTTCTTCTTCTTTCCAACTTGAAGAAAACTTAAGTCTTCTTGTATTACAGGTTCTCAGAAATGTTGATCCATCTTTTGTATCTAAGTTTTGTGTTTTTTTTCTCCTATTGCAAAAGCTGCTCCAAATTCAGCCCTGCTGCTCCATAGGCTCTGAATGTTCAGAAGAACATACATGTTACGAGGATGACTCCATGGAGTGCTTGATCACTAAGTTTGGTAACTAGCTGGTCAGTCTTTTTCACTTTAGCCGCAGCTGGGGAGGCAAGCCTCTATATGAGTGGCAGAGGCTGACTGACTGTTTAGCAGACTCATTTTTTTCTTTCTGAGGACACAGTAGCTTACATTTCCTAGCTTTCTTTGCCATTGGTTTGCTACGGCCATGCAATTGAGTTCTAGCTAATGGAATATAAGCAGAAGCGATGCACCCCACTTCCAGGGTAAGCCCCCAAACTCCCCTGCTGCCCATGCACAGCCTTCCACTCTCTCCTTCCTATTGCTGGCATGAAGCACATAAGCAAGCTGTCTTGGAAGCCACGTGTTGAAGCCGGTGAAGACTACGAGATGGAAGGAGCCTGGTCCCGGAATCGCCACTTGGAGGAGGAAAGCTGCTTGCTGCTCAAGTACGCCAGTTTTGGATTTCACACGGGAAGGGATAACCAGTAAGGGAAAACAAGTTAAACCAGTAAGATTTGGATTTCTGACCCACTAGCTGACCAGCAGATCAGCTGACCCCCTTCTGATCCCGTAGCTGACTGACAGATTCATGAAAACTATTGGGGGAACCCGCGCCCAGTATTTCAACGTAGGTTCTTTCTATTTTCCATAAGTGTCAGCCAACTGAGAAATAAAGAGTACAAAGAGAGGAATGTTACTGCTGGGCTGCCAGGGGTGACATCACATATCGGTAGGACCATGATGCCCACCTGACCCTCAAAACCAGCAAGTTTTTATTAAGAATTTCAAAAGGGGAGGGGGTGTATAAACAGGGAGTAGGCACAAAGATCACATGCTTTAAAGGGCAAAATGCAGAACAAAGATCACATGCTTCTGAGGAAACAGGACAAGGGCAAAAGAACTCCTGACAAGGGTTTATGTTCAGCGGTGCACTTAATGTCTTGATGAACATCTTAAGAGAAAACAGGGTTTGAGAGCCAAGAACTGGTCTGATAACAAATTTACCAGGGCCGGGTTTTTCCCCACCTTAGT